CTGGGCTCTCTGGGTATGTCTGCGCATGGACAGTCATCCACACTCCCAACAGGCTATAAAAGGAATGTACCTTTCATACTGTTTACATTGATCAGGAAGTTTTTTTGTGGTAATTGCACTGTAATGCTGCCTCTGATGTTTCTGCCCTGTTTTAAACATCATTATCTTCAAACGATTATTTTTTTTCCCCCCTGCGCATACCTTCATTCTCTTTCTATACATTTGCTATTTTATCTGTATCATCCTGTTTTACTGCTGTGGAAGATATCCAGGCTAACAGCTCTTCTTTCATTTCATAACGAATGGCATAATTAAGGTTTAATTAGAAGCATATGAATAAGGAAATGGCATGCCACCCAGGACCTTAAATGTAATACCATTCAATTGCTCAAGTACAGCACTCTCCTGAAAAAAAAAGAAAAAAGAAAAAAGAAAAAAAGAAAAAATCCTAAACCCACAATCTTATTTATTTCAAGCTGGATAGCTGGATCTTTTCAGAATGATATGATTACCTACTGACAATTAATTGTTTTCTAGTTGTAATTCTAAAAAGATAATGTACTTTCTTTCCCCTGCCAGGTGTGTGGAAATGACACCTCTCTGTGCATTGGATTTACAGAGAGTGTTATATGCAAACATTTGAGGTCTTAGCAAAGATCATACAGCACCATCTATGATACTCCAAGCTATGACACTGTTACACACTTATAGAAAATGAAAGCCTTCAAAACAAGATGTGGGTTTGTTTTCCCTCTTTAGAAGCGTGATGATGTTAAAGAGGGAAGAGGGTCAGCTGATAGATGTCCTGTGTTCTCTGTATCTTTGACTGGTAATGGGAAGATGAACGCAGGCTTCCCAGCTCCATATGTCAGGTCTCTTCAGTTCCTTCTGACATTACAGCCCCAAGGACGGGGTTGCATCCATGACTCCTCCACTCAACTCCTGGTTGAAGGAGGCCAGAATATCCACCAGAGGCCATGGGTTTAGAAGTGGGTGACTGTGGAAAGCATAGAGGAATGATGGGCAGGTCTCTGTGGATTGTGATGGTCAGTAGAGGAACTTTTGATCCACTTACTGCTATTCATTCTTCCTTGTTTCATTCGGTGAGCTCAAGGAGTCAACCTTGAATTTCTAGAGGGTTCCTAAAAATATATGAGACATTGTCACTCCTTTCCTGTAGGTCTAAAATTTCTGAAGTTTGCTTGGGAATAGTATTTTCTCATAGAGAGAATGCTGTCTGCGAGTGTGTGTTCACAGTTCAAGTGTCTGACCTTCCCTGATTTCCATTCAGCCAAAGCAGCTTTATTGCTCCAGAGCACAGGGGAATGAAGGACAAGATTCGGCATCTAATTTGCAAATCCACTGGTAATTTGGGGTGTTCTTCAGTATTAATGACTGAAATTATTTTAAACCATCAGTGTCAGTATCAGTGAACTGCTTTTCTTCTATCTGCTTCTGCTCATTCTTCATGATTTAGAGAAGATGTGACTGTATTCTTGCACTGAGGGAAAAGGCTTTAATATTCTTTGCTATGCACATGAAAAAAAAATAATACTCCAGCAGGACTGTGCTAACAGGCACGATGTCTCAGGCTGGCCAGAAATATTGCAGCTAGACAAGGCTTTGTCAATCATTTTTAAACAAAAGCTCACATAATCTTTTGAAAATAAGAAATTGCTCAGACAATTATGCTGTATTGCTAGGATGATTTTTACTTGCAGCCAACGAAAAATGGATCTGCAAGCCAATAGGTTATTTAACATATTTATTTCCTCACCAGTTCATTTTCTTGTATGTGATAGAAATGTGTTCATACCCTTAATTACACAGTTATATGCCTGAACCGCCTTCTGATGTTCTGTGGAGCTTGGAAAAAAGTCACTGAATTGGGTGAGCACTGCTGAGCTCTGACATCTGCTGTAAGCACCACATGAAGGAGCCAACATTGGCCTTGTGAGTGATCAGATACAGGCAGGGCTGTGAGGGAGACAGGGAAGAAAAGCTTTCCGTAGACAGGATACGGCTCTGCAAGAAGATGTAATATGCTGGTTCTTTGCTCATGTTTAGCTTTGCTGTCTTCATAAAGAAATTAGTTAGGATTAATTAAAAGATTCCCATTTGTCCTACTTCAGAGACACCTCTTCACAGACAACGCTGGCACCGCTCTGCTCTCATTTGCCCCTATTTTGGACGAGGGCAGCAGTTTTGGATCAGGGTTTCAGTTCTTAGCTTGCACTGCTGTAAGTCAGGAGAAAGATCACTGAAGGCAGTAAGGAGAAACCATGCAGACAAAAACAAGAACCAGCTTTGCAGCTCCAAACTCATTTTCTCTGGTTCAGGCTGGCATCTCCACAAACTTGCCAAGATTGCATAGGAAATCAACATTCACCTGCTGTGTCCTGTTTCTTCACTGTAACGGTAAAGCTCTTGCAATTATACAGATCTCTTCTTGTAGTCAGGGCAGGCACTGTAATATTTTCTGTTCTCAGGAACCATATAGCTGAAACTATATAACAAAGCAGGACTTCTGATATTCTTAGATATTCTTAGATATTCTTAGACATTCTTATCCTGAGATTTCTTGGCAGAGACCCAATCCTGCTTGCTTTAGTCGTGAGTACAGCCACTTGAGAAGAAAGAAAACAGCACCATTTTTATGAGAAAATAAATCAAATTTGTTAATGATTGACAAGGTGAACACTGATTTCTGCCCAAGAACAACACATTTATTTTCAGAGAAGCGATCTGGCTTGAGTCTTCTTCAGGTCCTGTTTTTGAACAACATCTGACAAAGTTTGCAGATTTCTGATTTTGTTTTGTAATATCAGTTTTATTATGGATAAAAATGAGAAGTACTTCAGGACTAGATACCTTTCTTACATGTCTGCAGCAATGCGTTTACTAATACCAGAAATGCTTTTATTCTGTTTAAACCTCCAAGATTTTATCAGAAACTATTACAACTTTTTTTTTTTAATTTTTTTTTTTAATTTTTTTTTTTTTTCTTTTCCCTCTGATCAGTTTTGTACTGACAGGACGAGCATGTTCTTGCAAAGGAGCTTATTCAGCTTCCATGTAAAATGGGAAAGCACCTCCTTGCGACCCATGGAAATGAAGTCGCTGCACCCCACAGCATAGTGGGACCTCCCCGGTGACAGTGTGTGTCAGCAGGAGGGAGAGCCCAGGTGACGAAGGCTCCTTTGGGGATGTGGGAGGCCTGTATGTCTGCTGACCCCGTGAATGCAGATTTTCTGCAGGAAACTCATGGTTTGGGGCAATGTGAGAGTGAGCGCAATGCGCCCGATTGCTGCTGCCCTCTCCCGGGTAGATGTGGCCAGACAAGACATACCGGGGCGAGGAGCCCAGGGGACACCTTTACTGTGCTTGGATTGAGCGAGAAGAAGGCAAGAATCCACCCAGAACAAGGTGATTCCAATTCCAGAATAAGGTGGTCCATGCCCCAGAAGAAAGCAGTCCCCATACAGGTGCTTGGCTGAGGGATGCTGCAGGACACCCAGAGCCAAGGGGTCTGCACCACTCAGGCTTTGCCAGCTGCGCTGCGCTCACCAAACATACCCCATGGGCAATGTTTCTCAGTGTTCAGCCTACACCCCATGGTCTAGTTGATACTAAACTAAACAATAGCAGGGTAATGCCCAGGCCCTGAGGCTGTCTCGCTATGCCCATCCTATCAAGCAATTCTAGTTTTCCAGAGGTGTTTCTCCTGTCCATGCTATCTGTCAGACACGGTCCTTGGCTTGGTCTACCAAATGTTGCACAGTATTACTTAGACCCACCTTGGCAGGCAGAGCAGTAGTACTGGGTGAAGATCTGTTATCCAGAATAGTACCTGATTAATGCACAGTGAAAAGCTTAAGGGAATGGTCTGGTGCACTTTTTGTCCCTGGTTTCTCATTTCTCTGTGTCACACTTGTTAAGTTTTCATTTCATTTTCCATTTTCAAACTCATTGTTTTGCAAGACATTTCTTCACGGCCAAAGTGTTCATCTTATCTGAAGATATTAGGTGCCCTCTCTTCTGTCGATTGCCTGCCGGATGGCATCTTTATAACTACCTTTATGTTGTATTTTCATTTGGCAGCATAAAAACATCCTAGGCATATCCATGGCATGATGCTGTGACATTTACTGTCAAAGTGAAATAAGTTAATGCTAGCTAGACCAGATCACAGCAAGCTGGCACTGTATCACTGCCATATCTGACCTAGACCTTTTCCAGAGAAACCTAGATCCTGTGCGAAGCCCATTGAAGTCCCTAGAAGTAATGGCAGTGACATGGAATGGGCATAGGTGAGGGTCCCCGGTGGACACAGGAGCAAGCAGAAAGCAGGGCACTGCAGCCCTGCTGGAAGACTGCCTGCCTGCTGTCACTCACACCTGCTGCTCTGGAAAGGGCCTGCTTCCAGTGACTGTGCTTTTATGGAAGCCATGAAGGAAAATTGGTGACCAGGTGTGAACAGGGGAGCCCTGCCTTGGGACACTGCTCAGGAGGTGCTCTGACTGCAGAAAGTGTGGTGTGTTCCTCCCTCATTGATTCCTTTTTCTGATTTGGGGATTTTTTCTAATTATTGCTGGTTTTTTTATTTAATTTTTTTTTTTTTTCTTCACACTTCAAAGTGCCTTCCTATACAACAGGTACTTTTAAGCACTATTTTTGGATGAAAACAGTGTTGCCCGACTGGAATATGGTACAGAAAATGCACTCGCACGTCATGAATATCTAAGAGAACAAAACTTTTAGATGTACTCAGACCCAAGGACGACATACAGGGCACAGTGCATCTGCGCGGAGCCGCAGACCACCGAACGCCGCTAGCCGCCGCCATTACCCGACCCCATCCCCGCCTCCCGCCCACCCACCCAAGAGCCCGCTCCGCCCTTGGCCCCGCCTCTTTCTCTGTCTCCACCAATGAGCGGCCGCTTCCAGAGGCGGAGGCGGGTCGTTGCCCGGCGCGGCACTTCCGGTTCCTCGGCGCGGCCGCCATGGCGCCGCTGCGCTGTCAGCTGCTTCTGCTGCCCGCTTTGGTTCTCGCCTTCGGCCCCGTCGCCGGGCTGGAGGCGCCGGACGAGGCCGAGGAGCTGGCGACGGGGATGGCGGCGGAACTGCGAGCCGCGGGGTTGCCCGGAGACCTGCCCGAGCTGGAGCCCGAGTGCCGTCGCCTCCTCACCGCCTTCGCGGAGGGCAGCGCGACGCTGTCGGGGTGCCTGGCCCGCCGCGCCCGCCCAGTGCGGCTCTGCCAGGCCTGCGGCGGCCTCTACCGCAGCCTCCTGACGCAGTATGGGGACATCGCCCGCGCCGTCGGGGTGCGTCCGACGGGGCGGGGACGGGGGCCCGGCTCCTCGGAGACGGGTGTCCCTGCGCTGAGGGGAGTGCTTTCGGTGCTCCGAGTTCCTTGTGAAAGGGGAAGCGGTGTTCTGGTACCGGCTGTCCGTCTGTGCCAGTTCCTGGCGTGGCGGGGTGCACAGAGGGAAAAGACCCTGCCTTCTCCTTTGGATGGTGGGAAAGCCCGGGTTGCTTTGAAGCTGCGCTTCAGGTTTGCTGAGTGCCTGAGGGGAGGCTTGGTGATGGCCTCGCTAGAGGAGCAGAAGGGCAGCACTTATCTTTGCTCTCTGATTATGGCGGCGGCAGGACCTGAGGGTATGGCATGGAGATGCGTCAGGGAGGGTCACACTGGGCACTGGGAAAGGGTTTTTCACCAGAGGGTGGAGGGCACGGCCCAAGCTGCTGGTTTGGATTGTGTTCTCAGACATAGGATTGAACTTTGAGTGGCCCTGTGTGGAGCCAGGGGTTGGACTCAGTGATACCTGTTGGGTCCTTACGATTCAGGATATTCTGTGATTTTATGTCATCAACGAGTAATGCTGCCTTTCTGGGGAACCAAATCCCCGTGCGCATGGATCCAAGGCTGGTAGGAGCGTGTGGCAGAAGCATGGTAGCTCTGGGCACTGGCTTATGCCTCTGAGCCTCAGCAGTGGGAAACCCTGACTGAAGACAGGTGTCCTGCTGCCATCTTCCTGCATCTCCATCCCCTTATTTTCATTTCTCCCTACTGGACGTGGTTGATGACTAATTCTATGCATTTATGTCTGTTCTTTAACTCATCCAACTTGTCTGTTTTTAAAAGTTAGTCCCTAATGTGGTGTGAAGATGACAGCGGTGGATGAGACCAAAGGGCTTTGTCCATTCTCTGATGATGACTGGAAGTGGTTGTCCTAGAGTACAGGAAGAGTTTATAGCAAGTTTATAGCAGTTGGTCACTGAGACTCCCAGTTTAGAGATTACTGAATCTGTGTTTGGAATTGCTACTGATAGACAAAACCTGCATAGACTTCTGATACTACAGCTTCATGCTGTAAACAGTTTCACATTCAGTTAGCTGTCATGTTAAGAAGTGTCACTTTTTGCCTACTGTTGATTTGTTGTCTGCCTGACCCCCCTCGCCTTTGTTCTGGTAGTGGAAAAGCAAATGGACATTCATTTGATATTTGCCCTCTCAAGGACAAGTACCTAGCCTGTAGTCTGCTGTTTGAGTGTAGACACCTGTGTTATTTGTTTCTTGTCTGGAGACTGTTCCATGCCATCTCAGATTAGGTCATGTGAAGGTGAGGGAGTGAGCCTGCGATTCTTACTTTTATATGACATCTTAAAGATACGTACAGAACTCTGCTGAAATACCTTGCACTTGTGGGTGTAGGTTACCTCTGGGATACTTCTGGGTAGGTTGCCAAACAAATCCCAGTGCTTGCAGTATGTAAGAACTCATTAGGGCTGTTTTTCTGGAGTGCTGGTTCAGAATTTCATCTGAAATTTGTTTCAAAGAGCATTTGACTTTCCTTCTGTGCAAGGATGACCTAACCAAATAAATACAGAAAGTGAGCTCCTTTGACCTGAGTCCATGATCATGATTGATCAGGTATTTGATGTTTTCGGTCATTCCCATCCTGCAGTAGTTACACAGCATGAAAGAAACAGTCAAGTTAAGTTTTGGACATCCCCGAAAAGTAAAATCCTCCTCACTAGGCTTATTAAATAACTTAAGAAAGCATCTTTAAGGAGCGATATAGTTTGACCGGATCCATGTTGGGATGTAAAATGCTTTTTCCCACTCATGAGTTTGTGGTGAGGAAGTTTCAGTTTTAACTGCACCTTTAACTGCACAAGCAGTCGGGGAGTTTCCTGCATATGCAACTTGATTGCGTGTCTGTTTGCTACTTACTAGAATTGAAACTGTGGGAGCTACCAGAAGTGGCAATATTAGACTTCTGCAGTTCAGTCTCAAAGGGAAACTTTCTTATTTAAAAAGAACTAAATAAATGTATTATAAGGGTGGAAAATGTATGTCTCATACAGCTGTATAAGCCATGCATTTCTTGTTGAAGAGATTCTTTTCTTGCATGTCCCGTGTTGCTTATCAAAGAGGCATTTGGCAGCTGTGACAGTTCTGAGGAGTGCTTAAGGCAATTTAGCAGCTAGAAACCAGGAGCTAGAGCACAGGAGTCAGCTGACTGCAGATCATGGTTTCTATTGGGGATTTGAGGGAGAAAATAAAGCTCTAGAGGAGAAAAACACTGTAAATTCTAATAGGGATATTTCATTTCCTGTTTATTTTGTAGCTGCTTTTATAGTCATTCTTTTTTTATTAGTTTCATCCAGAGAATAGTTTGTTCCGAGAATTCTCCTAATGTGTCCCCTTTGAGGATTAGGTATGTTGGATGGCTCTCTCAGATGAGATCAGCTTGGTACCCACATCCAATGAAGAAGAGAGCCTGGCTTAATAGTAGGCTCATGGGAGTTACTGCTGTTGCTTTTTGGAGGACCTTGTTTCTGTATAGCTGTATGTGGAAGCAGCTTGCTGCTGATATATTATGTTGGTCCAGCATTTCTGGATGTTGTTTTTTTTTGCTTGGAGGCCGTTGCATTGGTTCATCTCCTTCAGATAATTCTGTGGTCCCAATGACCCCATCCGTTTCTCTGGCTGTGAGGGCCTGGAGCTGGCTCCAGGGGCAGCTGTCCAGAAACAGGGGAACAGAAGCTGGCTGGCAGAGGCCTGTCATAGAATCGTGACATCACAGAATAGCTTGGGTTGGAAGGGATCTTAAAGATCACCTTGTGCTTCCTTCTTCTTGCAGTCGCATACTTTTAACTGATGTTCATGCAGTCCTAGTAGCTCTTCAGAGGCAGTGCACAGCAAGCTGTGTTGCTTGTAGTAAGATTTTGAGGATCAAAAGACTTATTTCTTCAGTCGATTCTGCTTTGCTTAGTCTAGAAATGTCAGTGTGATGAGATGTGATATTTAACTGTTTGCCTAAAATACTTTCCAAAAGCTTTCTCTTTGTTTTTTCAACATTTGATTGTTCTTTTTTAATTTCATTTTTGTTCTAGAATTCCTCAGAAAGCCACGACTGTGCCAAAAGTATCCTGACCTCGGACAGGCTGCAGGTAGTTGTGACCCTTTCAGCGTTCTTTAATGACACGTGGGAGGCAGCCAACTGTGCAAGTGAGTGACTTGTTCTGTAGCTGTCATGCTACTGTTATGACTTAGCTCAGTGCTGCATCTAAAATTTGCACAGATTGGAATTGTGTGTATTTTTTTATACTGTATATAGTATAGTACATACTGTATGTAGTATGTGAAGATCCTAGACTAGAATAGCTTCAGTGAGGAGTACAAGAGATTTTTGTATTGGCTATGGGGTGCTGCCAAAATCTGAGGGTGCCAGTCTAGCTAAAAAAAAAAAAAACACCAGATATTGTATATATTTCTTTTAGATAATTTGTTCAAACAGTAGTCATGTTAGGGTTTTGTTTATGATCTACAAACTCTAATGGAGACTTTCCTTGTTTTCAGTGCAGTTTCTTCAGTTTTTCTACCATCTTCCTTTTATTAAAAAAAGAAAAAACATATAAGAAAATTTGACTTCTTTGTTAATAAAAAAGCCAATAGCTGGAATGCTTTCAGGTTGAATAATATTTGCCTTCACAGCTGTGCTTTTGATTTCACTTAATGGGTGGAGAGTATCCAGGTCCACCGTTGTGCCTCACTGTCCTTGTGCTCGCTGATGGTGCTGTGCTGTGCTTACAGATAAAGCATGGCTTTTTGCTGTTCCCCTGGTGTGAAAACTGGGACCCTAACCTTAAAGGTGCCCTAGAAAGCAGGGAATAGTACTGTGAAGCTACGTGTTACAGATGAGAGCATGTAGAGTTAGTTTTCTTTTACACATCTGGGATCTGTGAAGGCTGGAAAGACAATGCAGAAGGAGCAGTGTGGTCTGTGCTGTCCTTCCGGGTTTTGACCTGTATGTTGCCCTCCCAGTGTCCAGCTGAATGGCTGTTCTCCATGCTGATGTCAGTTCCTTCTCTCAGGAAAATTTTCTAGAATGTTGGCTTGCTCTCATAGTGCCCTTACTGAACATTTAAATTCCCAAACCCCTGCCATTTCCAAGGGTGTAACTGATTAGAGCATCTGAAGTAGGATGGTTGGCTGGAAGTGGTAATATGTAGGGGTTGAAATGGTGAAATGGCCACTTGTATTAAACAATAATAACTGCACTCTGATTTCTACCACTGTGTTTGTGGTCTGGCCTTTGCTTGGGTGCTGTCCGTTTAATCTCCATTTCTGATGCTTCTGTTTTCCCATAATAGCCATTACCGTTGCTGGGCAAAGCCAGGTTTGCAGGGTAGTAAATAAAAGTAATGCCTTGTTTTATCTTAAAGTCCAAAGATAATTCAGACCCCCTCTTCAGAAAACTCTTGATGATAGTCTTCATCTTTCACTTAATCAAGGCCAATTAATTCTGAAATGTATTCTCGATGAAGAGTTAGGTCAGCAGGTCTGAGAATCAGTGGCAGGCAGATAAGGAAAGTGCGGGGTTGACTAGACCCGTCTTTTATAGTCGAGAGCTCTTTTTGCAAGAGTGGAGTGTCTGGGAATTGTCAGCTCTGGAAATGTTGGAATATCCTCATGTTTTTCTTTCTCTTTGACAGATTGTATAAAGAACAACAGTGAGGGATTATCAAATTCTACTCAAGAATTCATGGATTTATTCAATAAATCTCTGACATGTTTTGAACACAACCTTCAGGTATTTATGCAGTGTTTTCAAGAGAAGCACTACATTATCTAATTGCTAGAAAAACCTAATTTATGCTGAATATAATGCAGGTATATACCAGGCAAAATTCACAAACTTAGTGGCAGTTTATGCAGATAAAGCCATGATCTACAGAAATGCAGATGTTTAGAGATGGTGACACTAAAATTAATTCTAATTGATATTCACCTTGACTTCATTTTGTATGTAATTGTGATGCTGCTTCACATCAGAATTTCTGTATTCACAACAGTTGATAATTACTTAGTGAGTGCAGTAATGTCTGCATGCTGTAAATTTCTTTTTTTGCCTCTTTGTGAAATTGTTGTCTTCTGCCTGAACAATTCAATCTTTAAATAACCTTTTAATAATAAAGAGTAGTTCAGAAGGACCAGCTACTTTAAATGGTGGTTACAGTTGTTTCGACTTGTAAAATAATTAGCAGTCCATACTACAAAGGTAATGTAATGCAGTTTGTGAAATAAATGTAGTAATTTTCCTCAAAGAAAATGTCCTAAATTGCCCAAGAAACAGCGCACGTTCTGTTTCAGTCAGTAAGTAGGCACATTCTGTGATCAGTCAGTGGTAAAAATGGGAAATAATGAGTATGGTACAATCTCAGAGGAAACTTTTTTATTATTAATGATGTGAGAAAAGTGAGCTGGAGTAGCGTTGGTTGGGAGCCACACAGTCTGGTCTGTCAGTCAGAAGTCTAAATTAGATCTTAACCCATGGGTGTCAGCGTTGAGCAAGGGTGTGCATGCCATGCCTGTAAAAGCCTGCACCAGCAGATATGTCCCACTGTTGCTGTTGCCACATCTGAAGGGCACCACCCACCTCCTCACTGTGCTCACATCCCATTTGGTCTCCGTAAACACTCAGCAAGTGTTGATGAATGTCAGTGGATGTCATTTTTTCTGTGTGGAGGAATTCAGTGACACACCTTTGCTTCATACACACTTCCATGTCAGATGCCATTGTGTCAGACTGCCCCTCTGCTGCCATCTGTTGCACAGCAACAAAATGTAATGGGATGTTGGTGAGAAGGTTTAACCTGTACTGCCATATCTGCTTCTGATGCCATGGAATAACATAATAAAATAGGAGGCATTACTTTTGAGCTAATATGTATAAGTAACAAAACATTTTATTTTTTAATATTTTTTAATTAAAAGATTAAAAAAAAAGGAGAGCAGCGAAACCATAATGTGGGATATTTGACCTTGTGTTTGTGAAACTAATGATGACACGAAGACATGATGGTGAAGCAAGAGATATTTCTCTGTTAAGTTAGGGCTTATAAACGTTTGGCAAAGAGACACGATCAGATTTTTGAGTTGAATGTCTTATTACAACTCTGTGCATTCCATTTGAAAATTTGCAGGTCGTGTATTGATGCTAACTGAAAATGGAGTCACAAATACACCGAAAAATTGATAGTTTTTTTTTTTTTTGCAATCTTGAGGTTTGTTCTCAAATTCCTTTATCACAGTGGAAAGCACAGCTGCATATTTTTTACTGTTTACTGGTCTGTGTTTAGCTGATGTATCAAAATACGTAAAATTATTTGCCATAACTTGAGTTAGTGCTGCACTGTGCCCTCTACTTGTCCTGGTTTCAGCCCTGATGGGTTAATAGCACACTGATGTTAGGTTGCTACTGAGCAATGGGTGCATGCTGGCTGTCACCACGATGTTATAGGGCAGGGGGCAGCCACATTGCAAACCATGCTGGGCTGCAGGTTGAATGTGCCTCTCTTTATCCTATGTTGGTCATTAGCTGTTTTCAAGTGTGTTGTATTCCATTTAGTAATGGTGAAGGCCATAAATGAAATGGGTTTATTATGGCAGGGTTTGTAATGATCATGGTTGCTCAGCAGTAGTAACAGCTTCTTGACAATGGCCAGGTGATCAACGTGGCGTTCAAGGCCAGGCTGGATGGGGTTTTGAGCTCTAGAGGGAGGTGTCCTTACCTATAGCAGGGGGGTTGGAACTACGTGGTCTTAGAGGTCCCTTCCAACTCAAACCATTCTATGATTCTGTCATCAAATGAAAGCCAAGAATACTATTAAGGATCCTAATCTGTGGTTCCGGAGTAGGAGTTACTACCAATTCTTTTGTTTTACTTCCTTCTCTCTTATCTGGTACTTTTGAAATAAGCTTTACAAAGTACTGCTAGTCCAAGGAGCAGTTTGAGTTGCATGATCTACAAAAAATGGATTTTGTCACTAGAACAGCCTAATGAATTAAAGTTGGTCCCTTTCCTTTCTGCATTGTCATGTGAGTCATTTGACTGGGCCTTTTTGCATTGTGGTTCATTGCAAATCTGGATTTTTGGTTCAAACTTGACTCTGTATTTTAAGATTTTTATAATGCCTTAAATCTCTTTATGAGTACTGCTCTTTTATAACCTTAGGGGCAAGCCATGGATCTATCACCAAATAACTACACTGAAGTATGTAAGAACTGCAATGGAACCTACAAAAATTTGAATGACCTCTATAACAAGTTGCAAAGGCTGAACAGACATGGTGATGAGTCTGGGCACTCCACACATTTGTGTATTGATGTGGAAGATGCAGTAAGTATTTGTTAATATTCAGCAGGGAGATTTTATAGAAGTTAACCTGAGCCATTTGTGCTTGCCTTGCTAGGGATTGCCTTTTCTCTCTGAGTTTGGGACTGGCAGTAGTGCAGATGTCCTGCAGGAGGGAGCCTGGTGAGGCAGTCTTGTTAGCTCCTGTCCTCAGCTCCTGATTGCCTGAGCACGTTCCAGTATGAGTAGTTGCACTTTAATTTCTTGTTACTGTGAAGGGGGCAAATACTTTAAACAACAACAACAACAAAAGCTCTTAATCTTCTAATGCAAAGCTTTGCTGCTGTTTTTGTAGACTGTAATGTTGATTCCTTATTACAGCAGCTGTGTCTAGGGGTCTACAGGATTTGCAGCATGTGTTTGGAAAAAGCTTTGTTACCTTGCGGGGTTTCAAGTGATTGGGCAAAAGGAGTGTTGGTGAAAGTGTGAGATTAGCTCCATCCGCACAGGCTGTCAGTGAGTTCTGTAGGAAACAGGCATGTGGCAATATATGCAGTATATGTGCATACAGCCTTTTTATCAGTTTGTTGATGTGAAATTTTGGCTCTATGTAAATGGTCTGCTTTGACACTTCCAGGGATTTGCTTGTTTTTGAGGGGAGATCTGTGAAAAGTTGTTCCCTGGGGTCATGTTTGAACACTTGAATATCTTGAGACCTGAACATCTGCACATCAAGAATGTGCGTGCTCTCTTACTGCTGGCTTATGTTTTCCTTTTAGATGAACATCACTCGGAAGCTCTGGAGCAGGACTTTCAACTGCTCTGTTCCTTGCAGTGATACAGTCCCAGTGATTGCCGTTTCGTCCTTTATCCTCTTCCTACCTATTGTTTTTTATCTTAGTAGCTTCCTTCACTCAAAGCAGAAGAAGCGGATACTCATTTTGCGTAAGTGATGTTGCTCATTTTGCTGTTAGAGCTGGGTGTTGCCAGGGACTCTCTTGGCTCTGGTGGGAGCAGGGGCCCAGCCAGCTCTGCCTGCAGCTGTGCTGACGGCGCTAATAGCGCCTATTAGTCTGCTGCTGTCCCCTCAAGAAGGGTAGTAAAGAGCTTCAGCCATATCTTTTCATTAAAGTTTTTGGACGTGAGCAGAAAGCTGTTTGCAAGTCTGTGCCGAATAAATAGAGGGAGTGGAGAGACTAGTTTTGTGGAATTCTTTGTGTTTAATTTTCATATAATTTTTCCCTTTCTAGCCAAACGTATCCAGTCAAATGCCAGTCTTGTGAACATCCAAGAAAAATACAGCTGAGCTGCAAAACAAAACCTGAGAACTGCTGCTGGTATACAGTGGGTACAATTGTGTTGGAATGAGGCCGGCACAAAAGAGGAGTTAATTATGGTTTAGTGTAATGATACAGAGCAACACAAGTTAAACAAAATGCTGTCTGACTTCTAAGCGAGGATATTAACAAACATGACAAGGCAGGGCTGTGTGACACTGTGTGGACTCCAGTTTTGAAAAATCTGTGTTTTTTCCAGTCTCAGGCTGAAGCTGGTGTTTTTCTGTCTCTGAGCCTTTGTGTTTCTCACCACTGGAATACTTTCTTGGCACGTTTTTTTTCCTCTTTAATTTATTCTATTAGTTTCACAGAAACCTATCTGAGATTCTGAATCTTTTCGAAATGGTTTTCATAGACAGGAAAGACTTGAATTAGCATTTGACATTCCTGTTTGAAACATTATTTCCATGTAATACGGCCTTGGGATTGGCAGAAAACTTGAAAAATAAAAATTCTTTTCTGATACCTCTTGCTGAAGTCATACAGCTGCTGAGCGGGTTGTAATGGTCTCTGTGAAAAACATGAGATCTGCAGTGGAAGTGGTAATATATAATGTCCAAAGCCAGCAACAAAAGCAACAGAACTGCCAACACTAGACGTGAATAGCAATCATTAATGACTACAGTATTGAGCTATTTCAGAACAGGCAGCGTATTTACTCATTTGCACACTTGAACCACTAAGTAAAATAATTGCTCTTTATATGTTAAATTTTCAGAGGCTTATTCTAATGTGTGCCTGGGTAATTGGGAATATCACTTTTTCTCTATTTATTGTGTTGTTTCCTTTTTTCCATTTAATTGTAAAGTGATTTTTTTTTTTTTTTTGGTGTGAGAAGTGAGGTAAAGTCAAGTCACTGGAAGGATTTCCTAGCCTAGAGCTTGCTGTGGCTTAATACAGAGGTGTTTACAGGAATGTGGTGGGAAAAAACACAATCCTTTTCTATGTAACATTTTATTTTATCAGTACATGAGCCAGGGAATTCTCTAACTTGAAAACTGTCCTGCAGGACAATAAAGATATTGTGTTGGCAATTGATAACTTTTGATAAATAGTTTTAAAAAATAGCCATGTGGAACAGATGAATAATTAATATAAGGTTGCAGGATTCCAAAGCAGATTAAAAAAAAAAGCTGCATAATAATGTCAGGATGGACAGTGCTGCTGGTGGGCAATGGCATGGTTCTACAGGCAACAGCTGCAGCAGTACCAGAGGTTCAGTTTGGCTGATGGTGGTGCTAGCTTGGGAGAGCAGCGGGGTTAAAGTGATTTATGGCTATATCTGAGATTAATGAATGTCTTTGCCCCCATTTTGAAATGTGTTTTTATAACCATGAGATAATAACAGCCACATTGGCAAAAAAAATTTCTCTTGAAACCTGTGTCTGACTTCTGTCGAAGCTCCTATGAAGTCCTATGTATTTGTCTTGCTTTGGAGCCTGATATGTTTAATTTTTCCTTTGCACAAAGGCTCAAATAAATATATATAGCAATTTAACAAAACATCCTAAAGCTCTTTGATTTATTGTGGTTCTTTGGTTTTTTTTTTTTTTTTAAGTCAGCATGCCTTTAGGACAAAAGAAAAATTTAAAATTTCAATTTTTATATTTATGGATTTAATATGAAGTAAATAGCATGCTACTGACTGGTTATGTCCATATGATTGGTGGTTTGTTTTTTATTTGTTTTTTTTTTTGTATTTTATAACAAAAGAATAGTATTTGTACTTATCTGCCTTTGTTACGTGTGAATTTCTAGGTCAACAGTCAGTTTGCTCCAGGTAGTGTATAACAATAATAGAAAACTGTTACTTCTGCTTATTACTTGGTTATTCTGCAACTGGGAAAGGCATGCTGCCTTCAAAAAGAAAAAAAAGATGAATTTTTTTTGTATCTTGATCTTTTTTTCTATCTCTTATTCTCAAACTTACACTTTCTGGGACTTAGCTGCCTGTTCTAATAGCATTACTTTGATTTGGGACATCATATGATTGAGAGTTGCTGAAAGCAATCTTTCATTCATGCAGATAAAGCCAGTTTGTATGTGCAGCATTTCAGAATGACAGCTTTTATACTGTAAGCAGTGGCTTTTTGAGCACATTCGTGTTAAGTAGGTCTCAAAGTCATTACTTTGGATGTGGTGATTAAGCACTTAAAAAAAAAAAAAACCAAAAAAAACCCCAACAACCCAGCTTTTCTTATTTTCCTGGTTGCTAAGCCAAATGGAAATGCTCATGTGACTTTTGGTTTTTGTTTTAAAGCAGCAGTGATGTTTACACTTGAGATTTTTAATCTTCTATCTGCTGTTTCTCCTTTTTCTTTTTCTGCCAAATTCGCACTACAACCTTGCTTTACAGTCTTACATTTTTGGTAGGATGTTTCTTATAAAAAGCAATTGACTGAATTCTCTTTATACTCTTTCTTAGAGAAATGTGGAAGCACACAGTTTGTGTGTCTGAAGGAGGCCTAGAATTCGTTTGGCTGCTAATCTTTTACCTTGGTTAATTTTTTCTTTTTGGTATTATATATACAAAATGGCAAACTTTGGAAATCCTGGTTGTTTGTATCTTTTTGTGCAAATAAAGATTTCTAACGGGGGAGCAGCACTTTGGTTCGTATTTATACTTATTAGGAAACTTCTCAACACTGGAAGTCAGCTTTAATAAAGATTGTCAATAAACAGTGAACAGTGTGGTTACTTAATTGCTCCATTTGTAGCGGTTTTGTGCTCCCGCTGTTCTGGGTTTGTGTTTAGAGGCACCTGCTTATTATTCCTCATTATGCCATTTGTAGGAAAACAGGATCAAAAAGACATTTTCAAAGCAGTGCTGTGCTGAATTACAGAACAAATGAACTGCAACTGCTGAGAAAGGGTGGAGTTTGAACTCAGTTCAAGCCTGCTGAAGCATATGGAAAGACTGCTGTTAATAGCAGTGGAGTTTCTTGCATGGGCATACATGCACAGTGGTGGTGAGGATAACTTGGGTGCCTCCCTCTGTGGGGAGGCTTTTACTTGCTGCACTGGCTGCTTTTTTGGCTTCAACGGTTCCACTGCTGAATTTCAGTTAAAATTGATGATTTTCTTAAGAATGACAGTGCAGTGAATCACAGCAGAAAGACTTGGGCAAATATAATCTCAGTGGGTTGCATGCTAAGGGACTTCTGTGAAGACTGAGAAAGTATTCATGCCAGCATATAGGGGCAGCTTCAGCTGTAAAGTAGGTACTGTTCTGGTTGTGTGTGCTCTTGGGAGAGGGATTCAAGAGGGTGTAAATGCAAGAGGAGGATAAGCAGGAAGGGGTGGAGAATGAACCCAGGGAGTGGAGCAGACATGGGAGGAGAAACCGAGGCTGGAAATGGGTGCCTGTAAGCAAACTAAGAGCAAAACACTTCGGAAGGAGAAGCTGCTGAAAATTCACAGGTGGCTGAGGCAGCCTGCGGGAGGAGGGCACAGAAGGGGCTTGGCTGCATCTGAGCTGGAAAGGGGAGGCTCAGGATTCAGGGTAGAGTGAGATGGTGGACTGGCAGCAGGGAGGAGCTTGTTTCCCCACTTGTCTGTGGTGGCACATGTAGGCCAGGAACAAGAAGGAACAAGTGGTAGGATGGCAACAGGGACTTGTGAATTGTGTAAAAGCAAAGCAACTGCATTCTTCTGGGATGGTACTTGGTGTGATGCTGTGGAAGCGTTGAAGAGATCTTGATTCCAAGGTTTGCAACAAAGCTCCCGTTTTAGTTGAAACAGTGTGGGTTACTGCTTAGTAATGAATAATGGACTTGATTTTCCTTGAAAACAAAATAATAAGCCTTGCTTCTTGTGTGATGGCTGCTCTTTTCCATCTTTATGAAATGTCTCTTAGAATCACAAAATGGCTCAGCTTCTGAATATTTTGCTTCTCGTGCTCCCTGTCCAGTTAATCAATTGCCATCAAATCTTGCAATTCAGCTAATTTATGCATTAGGTTTCATTTCCTGAGTATAGAGCTTCTCTGGAATGATAAACTACATGAGAAGTAAAATTACTGTTCTCCTAATCAGAATGTATGTGTAACTTACTGCTTTTGCTTCATATTTTTGTGTAAGTTTTCCTTCTGGGATCAGTGTAAACATTTTTAGCCTGGCTGTTGTTAAGCTTAACCGTACAGGATGCACCTTCTGTGTTTATGCCAAGGTGAAAAGTTACACAGTGGAACAGAAAAGTCAATCAATTCGGCAACTTCTCTGAAGCATTCCATCTCCCAGTACTGCAATTAGTGTCTCTTGTAACCTGCTGGAGTCAGCCAGGATGATGTAGGTGCAACTAGCAGCCTTCTGTTGTGCCAAGAGTTGAAATTCAGCAACTATCTACTTAAAAGATGATGCTGGTCCAAATTACTTTTCCCCGGCATCTGCCTCAAGGTCTAAGGTGTTGCCTGGAACACTTCTGATTTATGCCAAAGTGCTTATGCAGTGGCGAGGCCATTTGGTATTGGGAAATGTTTTACTCTTTTATCAAAGTCTTAAATGTGTTTTTTTCCCTCGTCAGCTCTGCTTTGAGACCGCTGGAGGTCACCTAATCCAGCTCCCCGCAGGACTATCTCCAGAGTTGGATACAGCTGCACAGGACCCGCAGCTGTGTTTGGTTCCCCACTTTTGGGCATTCCTGGGCTCTGCTCTGAACAAGATCTGCTCCCTGCTCCCCAGCACATGGGTGGTGGGTAACTGGAGAAATAAACAGGAGAAAACTGATGTGCCCTGCAGCCTCAGCAGCCTCCTGGCCCGTCTGCTGTGGTTAAAGTACAGGAATAGTACAGAACAGGAATGCTCTATAGCACAGCATGGCTTTGGAAGGAGTGTGAGCTGCCTTTGGGCTGTTTTGCTTCTGTGTATCTCGCAGAAGGGAATGGCAAGGAGAGCAGGGATGCTGCTGCACTGCATTGTGGCCAGATGCAAGTAGTGTCAAGTTAACAGCTGCTGATTACGTTTTTAAAATTACTTAATGAGTTATGCTAGAAGTTCAATAATTAAATGAACCCTGAAAATCTTTCCCTACTCCTGTCTAAGGTGAAAGTGTTGGAAAGCTATTTCAAATATTTCAGAAAAGAGAGAGACTTGCTAGTAGTTGGGTTGAAGTTTTAACTTCTAATACTGAAAATTCCACTCTGGTGCCAGCGCAGTAAGTATCATGGATTGCTGCAATTAAACCAGTGCCTTAAGTTATTCATAATACTCTTTCTGGGCAGCATTCCCACCTGCTTAATCTGTACTCTGCAAGCATTTATTAGAACTGACTGTTGAAAAACGCCAGGCTAAATCGGACACTTAAAAAAAAAAAAAATCAATATGATGCCCTAAACTGGTTTAATATGTCTTTCCTCTTCAATAATCCCACACGTTGCTGATTTATTTGCTGTAATGAACGTGCCATTCAACCAAAACAAGATTAGCTGCTTAAACCACAGCATTAGGCACAGAGCAACTTTAATGCTGCTTTATGTTTCGTTGTAATGCTCAACACTTTACAGTGTTGTCTCTTTCTTCCCTCCGTAATAAAGAGTTTGCGTGAGGATCACAAGGGGCTCTGGAGTGTTGCTATTTTACTATTTTTATTGCTATTTTGGAGCAATAAATTTGAGTTTGGGTTGCAGCAGCTCCTTCATCCAACCCAAGGTTGAACCAAGCTGGTGAGCAGGATTAATGCGTGAATTTCTGTTCCCTGCAGGACTTTTCCGGGGTTAACCATGAAATAAATGGCTTATGTCAAACTGATCTAGTTTAAGGCAGAACAGCCACTGACAATCAGAATATTCCTTTGGACTTTATTCACTTCTTGTTTATTTATTTATTTAGAAGAGCAGCAGTCAGCTTGCCAAAGGTAGTGTTCACTGCAAGGTGCAGATGTCTTGGCTTTGCACAGAGAAGACCTGGGATAGATGGGGTATAAGACGAGGGACTTGAAAAGAAGTCTACAGAAAGGGACAGGGAAACATAAAGTATCTGTGTCACTCGTGCCTAGCCAAGGTATAAAACACACACCTGCTTAGGTATAATGCCTGGCAAAATCTGAAGACTGTAAACTCTGCATCTTTCAGCTCAAGCTCTGTGTATCTGCCTTCCTGCTCCAGGGGCAGTCCTCAGATGGAAGGCTCTAAAGTCAGCGGGTTTCAGGTACTGTTTTGTTCTTTCCTTGTCATGGAAAGACTGCATTAGACAGCGCCCTTCTTTTTGGTTAAGAAGCAGGTTGTAGTTGTTAGGATGTTTGTATGTTCTCTGTGGTTAAGAAAAATTGTTAGGAATTTTCCAGGGATGCTGTTTGCAATACAGTGTTATCATTCTTTTTCTTTACAAGACAGATGAGTTGCAAGTGTATACTTAGCAGCTTTTCTAGGTCTTGGTGTCAAGTACTGCAGAAGTGTGCTGAATTGAGAGCCATTAGTCAAACACAGAAATGAGAAAGATACCAAAAGTAGAGTGTTTGTGGTGTGCCAGAATAGGTTATCGAGCTGAGGTTGTGTGTTTCTGACTGGAAC